GGAAAGGTTTTTGGAGGAATGTGGTTCACCAAGCTTCATGAACCATAGACTAGAAAGATGATTTTTAAATTGTTTGGGGTATAAATTTATTTTTCCAAAGATGATTTCTAAACAAACACTTGGTTCAGGTTTCACCTGGTCTCACTCAGATAGGTTTCTCAGTTTAAAACTTGGTACGCGAAGTACCCGAAAATTTATGGTTTTGGAATTAAAATAAGTTTCGGTGTTGAATTAATTTAAAATATAACTCAAAATAACTTATTCAAACACCAATTTATCTACAAAAAATTAATGGAGTGAAAATGGCTATTTTGGAATTTCTTAAAACTGGATTTATAAAATTAAATTTTGGGTTGTCACACCTGTGCATACCATCGCATACATCAAACTACCAACAGCTGAGGAATAAGGAACTCTTTGCATTTCTTCTTCTCTTTCTCACTAGAAGCACATTGCTTCTTGCTCAACTTGAAATGCATACCAAGAGGTTGTATTCACTGGCTTAGCTTAATCCATTTTGAATCTCTCAAGTACTTTCTGTTGGAATTTTTAGCTAAAAATGGCATTTTGAGTGACTATTTTGTGGTACAAATATATGTGGGATCCACTTCCGATTTGAGTTGGGTCAAAGTGGATCCAGGTTCTTCGTAGTGAGACAAAGAATTAGATATAATGTACGCTCAAAATTGGTAATAGGTGAATGAGAAATTGATTCTCAAAGTGAATCAATTTGAGAGAAGTCAAAAACTTAAGCATTTTAATAACTTTCGTTGCATTACACGAAAGTTGGGTTTATAAGCTTAAGTAGAGTTAAGCTTTGAAAGATTAATTGTGAATTTGTGATTTTAGCACCTTTGGTGCTATGCTTTCATGCTGGACGAAAGTGCATGCAAATTGAAATCTTAATTTTAAGCTTTAGTTTCATTCTGAAAGTTGGAGTTGTGAGCTCTTTCGTGCTCTCCTTTCGTGAGCTACTTTCGTGCTGCAACGTTTCGGTGCTTGCGGACCACTCGGGTGTGGTTTCCGGTCCTAATTCATTAAACCTTCAGGTTTGTACGGACTTCTCGGTCACTCAGATATTTTGAAACAGGTCGCTATGGTCGGTACGAATTAATCGCGTATTAAGTTCGTGACCGTTGGTATTATTATGATAATAAGTACGACCGTTTCAAACATTATTATCCAATTATTAAATTGAATTTATGGTTGGTTAATGGTCATTATAAGGCTAATTATTCACTCTTCCCTACAAATAGCTTAGGATATTGGCAGATAGTTTTTTAAAACATTCTTGTTGAAACTCTCAAAATCTTTCTTTTGTTTTCTCTCATCTCTCATCCCATTTACAAGAGAAAAGTTGTTCTGCCAACATCTTCCGTAAAACATCGGAGTGCTCAGCTTGTGTTCTAGTTCACCGGACTTTGGGTTGGAGTGCTCGAACGCCAAAGTCGTAGTCCGTTTTATCCTGGAAGATTGACGCCACAACGCTCCTAGCACCCTCGGGAGGTGACGAATCGGTTTTAAGGAGAGTGTGTGTACACAAGACTCAGGCTTCCTCTGCTTCTTCTTTCTTCTCGTTGGGTTAAAACCTCAGGTTAGAAACTCGTCTCTTGTTTTATTTTTGTTCTTGGTTTCGTACCAAGCGGTGGGATTAATCTCGTGAGGATTAAATCACTTGTACTAGTTTCGTACAAGTTGTGGTGGGATTATTTTTGATAAAATAAATCCCTATTTGGTTACCATATATACGTTGTATATATATGTAATTTTAGTTTCGTACCAAAATTGGTTGGAATTAATTTTCTATAAATGAAATTGCATTTTTCGGGACAAATATATATATATATATATATATATATATATATATATATATATATATATATATATATATATATATATATATATATATTTTGTATCGATTTATTCACCAATATCCAACCATCTTAAAACTGATTAATTTTTTTGGTGATAAAATATATGGATTCCACGAGCGGTGGAACCGTAAATGTTGCTCGTGGTGCACATTCAAATGGTCGGATCGGCAACGTGGTTGCACAATCCGAAACCCCCGGTGAACTTGGTTCGGAGATCGGTGGTGGCATCAAAGGGTATATCCCTACGATGAAGGTACATGGGACGGTACCTTGTGGTTTGGTCGAAAGATCGTGGAAATTCTAGCAGTTGAATTTCGAAGGGTGGCAATTGGGAATGTTGTACAACCTAATGATTCTCGGCATGTCATGGTTCTTGACCGAGATGGTTCCTAGTGGAAAGGAACATGAGTCTAACGCTCAAACCGTTAGCATAGTAAGAATTTGGAAATATTTGGTTTTCCTATGCCGAAACTATGTTTTGAATGGTTTGTGTGACTCGTTGTGGGAATCTTTTGACCTGAAGTATAATAGTGATGACGCTAAGGCAAAAATGTTTGTCGTTTGCCGATTACTTGAATACAAGATGGTGGATCCGGGATCGTCCTAAGTCAAGTTGACGAAGGAATGATCCTGAGTGATGCCTTTCAAGTGGAATCTGTTATCCATTTGTTGCCTTTGGGAAGAAAGGACTTCAAGAAGAAATTCCATGGAAAATGCTTGAATGGCTTAACGGCCATAGTGGTATGTAACAAACGTGTTGCATGGTTGAAATTTCGTAAAAGACTTCAGTTCTAGATTTCAAGTATAGTCAATTTGTCAAAATTGGGATGACTATATAATCGTGAGCGTCAAAGCTCAAGTGTATTGAATATTTTAAATAATATTCTTAATATGATTATATAAGCTTAATTCAACTAGTTGGAAAATTTGGTTGATATAATCTTGTTAATTGTGTGAAAATTAACTTGATTAAAGATACCAAATTGTACTACTATGAAATTAATTTGTGACAAATGACGAAAGTGTTGGGACAACAAAATAAATCTCGAACCACCTAACTTGCGAGTAATGGTGTAATGATTTATAAAGTTGTCACTACTGTGGTTTAAGACAAGGTTTTGTCTAGATTTGGAATAAAGGCAATGGTTAATTACTAATTGGGCTATAAGTTTGGTGTAATAACCATAATTAATAAGAATACTATTGATTGGTCTTGCCTGGTTGGGTCTTCGTGTTTGTGGCACGGTAGACAAGGTCATGATAACTATAAACTATTTAATACTTTAATAGTTAATACTAAAATAGTAAATATTAACCTTAAAAACATCTAGAGTTTGAACAATTTAGGGTTATTTCGTTCAAAACGATGTCGTTTTGAGTGAAATAACCAATTTAAAAAAGAATGGAACAATAGCTAATCGGCCAATTAGGCGACCGAGTCGGTGCCTATGAGGCTTAGTCGGCGCTTAGGCGGCCGAGTCGCCTAGACCACCGATTATGATGATACGCTAGGCGATCGGCCAGCGCCTAGCGCTTAGGCGCCGATTAATTAGTACCTAGGCAGGATTTTTGCAACACTGATTCAAAATCTTTCCAAGCCCAGAATCAGCCGGATGACGTTAGTACTCACCATAGTCAATTCGTCTTTCCTTATGCCACCTCATATCATTTGCAATTTTTTTTTTTGACATAAGCAATTTTTGAAGCGTAGGTTTTAGAGGATAGTACCTTAGTATATCTTACGAGGAATATTTTTTCCTTTACCACCATTGACTTTCCATCTAGAAGTACCACATATAGGACAACATTCATCTGTCTCTAATTCCTTCAAAAATCGCACACACCCTTGACTTTCCATCTAGAAGTACCGCATATAGGACAACAATCAATTATGTTGTGCAACCGTGAGCACCATGCATGGTGCACACGGGTCTAGATTCATAATTTCTATATTATAGATTCATAAAATCTATACTGTAGATTCAAATTTTTTTTAAATATATGTTCATAATTATAAATCTATATGTTCATAATTTTCGATGTTCATATTCCCAATTGTTGAACTCTGTATTCACAAATCACATAAGTATATGTTCATAATTTGATAACTATACAGTTTAGAAATTATGAATCTACAGTACAGAAATTATGAATCTGCAGTATAGAAATTATGAATCTACAGTACAGAAATTATGAATCTACTGTATTTAAATTATGAATCTACGGTTTAGAAATTATGAATCTACAGTATAGAGTTTATGAATCTACAGAATAGAAGTTATGAATTTACAGTATAGAAATTATGAATCTATACTAGACCCGTGTGCACCATGCATGGTGCACACGGTTGCACAGCATAACAATCCCAACAATCATCGGTCTCTAATTCCTTCCTAAATAGCACACAATCATATTTTCATGCATGAATATTTGTGTATCTCAATCCCAAGTTACGTAGCATAGCCTTAGACTCATAGTGAGAATGTGGAAGTATATTGCCATCAGGTAAGCATTCTTTTAGCAATTCAAGCAACATGTCAAATGATTTATTGCTCCAATTATTATACACCTTCAAAGGAAGCAACTTCACAGTTAATGATCGAGAATTTTGAGAATTTAATTTAGTGCAACCTGGATATTATATTCTTGTTTTGCTTCTCTCAATATGTTCTCAAAATTATCAACTTCATCACTGTGAGTATTGGGATTTAACTGTGAGTTGAAGTTTACAAAATTTCCATATTCATTTAAGAACTCATAGACTCCATCTAAGTTTTCATCATCAGAATCATCATACTCAACCTGAGAACCATTATTACTTGGTTCTTGAAAAATTGGAGGCTTTCCATGGAATATCCAACGTGTGCAATATGTATCTGCTATTTCATTTTGGCGCAAATGCATATAGACCATGATTTGATTTATGAATGTTCTGTTTAAGCATTTTTTACATGGACACCTAGTCTCACAATCATGTCCCAAATGATTTCCCACAAATAACATGACACTCTTCCTTTGCTGGCAGTCTGGAACACATGCGTGCTTTCGTTAATAAGTACATGCACACAACCAAATTAATCATATCGCAATACATAATCAAGTGTATACAGAGATTAACGCTTGGGCATGACCAGAATTCTCTCGGAACTGTCCTCTCCTGCGGCGACCCATCGGTCGCCGGAGGACCAAGATTTGTTGGAAAGGAGCACCAGAAAGCCAAAAAGATTGAGAGGTCAACTGGAAAGTCCTTTGCGTCAATCCTCTGTGGATGCGGCGCAAGAAACCCCAACAGGAGATGAACTGATGTCGCCGGACCAGTGGAAGACTCCCGTCGCGACTCCAATCAATGCATGGGGCCGGAAAGAGGTAATCTCCCATCCTCAACCTGAAATTGTTTCTGACGATGATGCTATGGAGGACGAGAGTTTTGTGTCCGAATACCCAATAATCCGGGTAACTAAAGAGGAGAAGGAAAGACTCCGGCGACCATGGCGCCGTTCACTCATCCTCAAGGTTCTGGGCAGGACAGTCAGCTACTCATATTTGCAGCAAAGGTTACAAAAGATGTGGAAAACAGAGGCTCATTTTGACCTAATTGCGCTTAATCAAGACTATTTTATAGCCAAATTTGAGTCCCTGCGAGATTATGAGTATGCTAAATTTGAAGGCCCTTGGATGATTTTAGATCATTATGTGGTAGTTCAAGAATGGGAACCGAATTTTAGCCCCTATAATAACAAAACCAAGAAGCTGCTGGCCTGGGTGCGATTTCCGGATTTACCGATCGAATACTTCGACGAAGACTTCCTCAAGAAAATTGGTAAGACAGTGGGTAGGCCAATTAAAATCGATACTGCAACCCATCTTGCATCCAAAGGGAAATTCGCTAGGCTGTGTGTTGAGATTGATATATCCAAGCCTCTCCTCTCGAAGTTTGTTCTCAATTTCATGGAATGGACCATCGAATATGAAGGTATCCATTTGATCTGCTTCAACTGTGGCTGCTATGGTCACCGGTCGGAGAACTGCAGCCCAGAAAGCTTAAACAAAGACAACCTGGAAGGAGATCTGGCTCCAACAACGACCCAAATCAAGAACAGCCATGTACCAAAAGAAAAATATGGTACATGGATGCTAGTCACGCGTAAGGAAAGAAGAAGGCCAAGAAGAGACTTCAGACCACCGACTGAAACCCAAGGGGGCAGAAACCAGTCATCGCCCAAGAACAGCCAGGAAGCAAACGAGGATATCGGGATACAATCCCGGTTTACTACTCTACAAGACTTGGATGACACTGGGACAGAACAGAATGTAGAAGGACAGGAAAGATCGGCAACAACACCACAACCACCGCCGTCCTTGCCCCGAATCAGAACCAAAACAAGAAATATGCCAGTTCAAACAGTGCAATTAAGGGAGGGATTAATTCAAACGGTACTAGACAACAGATGGACCATCAAAGGCAGCCAGGCACATCCATGCGAGGTGGTCTTAGGGGACGCCAAGGCCAAGGTGCCACTCCCAATCGTGCTGCCGCAGAATTAGAGCATACGGTGGTCAGAGGAACAAATAGGGGGAAAACCATAACTTCTACGCAAGTTCATCAAGCTGAGGACCACCCAGAGTCATCTTATATGGCTGGGCTAGAAGATGCTTATATGGATGACCCTCCAGACATTGTCCATGTCCCTCCAGATTTGAATATACAACCGGAATTGGCCTTGAATGATAATGAGGATAGTGTGTTCGAGGAGAATCCAGTGGCTGTTAGCCACATGCGCTCTTAAGCGCCCCGGCTTGTCCTAATCTCTTTTAGATGTTATTTATTGTTTGGAATTGTCAGGGGGCGGCTTCGAATTCATTTAAGCGCACCCTGAAACAATCTTGTCGGGAATTTAACCCTTCTTTGCTTTGTTTGCTAGAACCCAAAGTCTCGGGAAATCAAGCTAACAAGATTTGCAATAGTCTTGGCTTTGAAGAATGGATACGAGTTGAAGCAGTGGGATTTTCGGGAGGAATTTGGATACTTTGGAAAGAAGCCCTAAAAATTCAGGTTATTGAAACTAACCCTCAGTTTATCTCTGTACAGGTAATGGACTGTGAACTAGGACCATGGTTGTTATCACTGGTCTACGGTAGTCCCTGCCACAACTTGAGAAAGAAGTTATTTGCCGGTTTATCCATACAAAGACACAACCCACAGATGCCTTGGCTTATAGCGGGTGATTTTAACGCAGTAACAAGCCATGAAGAAGTGAGCAATCCAGGGAATTTTTCGATGGCAAGATGCATTGATTTCAACGACTGGATATACAGAGAAGGTCTAGTTGATTTGGGGTATGAAGGCGCCAAATTTACATGGATGAGAGGAGTGGATTCATCAACATTCAAAGGGGCTCGTCTTGATAGAGCACTAGCAAATTTACAATGGAAACTCTGCTGCCCGAATGTGACCGTAACACATCTCCCAATGTTGAACTCAGACCATTGCCCTCTACTGATAGATACCAAGGAGACTCGATCTAATCTAAGGAAAAAAACCTTTAGATTCAACATGGCCTGGACCACTCATGTCACTTTCCAAGCTCTAATTCATGAAGGATGGAACAAAGAATCTGACTTATCAACAAACTTGAAGGTTGCGGCAGGGGCACTTACTAAGTGGAATGTTAACACGTTTGGTAACATCTTTCACAGGAAAAAGCGCCTACTGGCCAGGCTTAAAGGTATCCAAAATAGCCTAGCATACGGTCCTAGAACAGATGCACTAAAATTAGAGAGAAAATTACGCAGTGAATTGGAGGAAACTCTATACCAAGAGGAACTATTATGGTTCCAACGATCAAAGGAAGATTGGATAGTTTCAGGCGACCGCAATACAAGATTTTATCATGCAGCAACGTCGATTAAAACCAAGGCCCCCAAGATTAAAGGTTTAAGAGATGACAATGGGCAGCTTATACTCGATACCACTCAGGTTAGCGAGCTTGTTAAGAACTATTTCATAAAACTTTTTGAAGTTGACAGTGGGACATCCCTGGTTCCCCTAGCACAAGAAAATTTCCCTAAGATTTTGGACTCAGAATGGGCTGAGATCAACAAGGTATTCACAATGGAGGAAGTTAAGAAGGCCTTATTCGATATGTCACCTTGCAAATCACCAGGTCCGGATGGCTTTACAGCGGGTTTCTACCAAAAAACATGGAATACCGTAGGACACAGCCTAACTAAGTTTGCCTTGGACTTCTTCGAAGAAGGAAGATTGTATCAAGGATGCAATGACACTTTGATATCTTTGATACCTAAAGTAGATAGCCCGGATTCAGTCAGGCAATTTAGACCTATTGGCCTTTGCAATGTAGCCTATAAACTAGTAACAAAAATGATGGTGAACAGATTACAGGATGTGCTAAGTAAGCTGATAGGGCCGTTTCAAGCCAGCTTCATCCCGGGAAGACAAATCTCGGACAACATCTTAGTCTTTCAAGAAGTTCTAAACTCAATGAAAACCAAAAGAGGCAAAGTAGGATGGATGGTGTTGAAAATAGATCTGTAAAAAGCCTACGATAGGTTATCTTGGAACCTAATCGAAGATACACTGTCAAAGGCCGGATTCAATCATACATGGACTAGGAATATAATGCACTGTGTATCTTCGTCCAGACTAGCAGTGCTTTGGGAAGGACAACAAATGGAATGGTTCAAACCCGGAAGAGGCATAAGACAGGGAGACCCTCTATCCCCTTTACTCTTTGTTCTCTGTATTGAAAGACTTAGTCACATTATACTTGAATCAGTGAACAAAGGCAAATGGAAAGGAATTAGAACGTCTAAATCGGGTCCTCACATTTCCCATCTTCTATTTGCAGATGATATGACCTTATTTGGTGAGGCAACATTGGAGCAAGCAGTAGAAATAAGAAGATGCTTAGACTTATTTTGCACTCATTCGGGACAGAAAGTCAACTTCCACAAGTCTTCAATATTTTTCTCCAAGAATACAAATGAGGAGCTCCAAGACAAAATCGTTGAAACTTTAGGAATCCCAAAAGTCACGGATCTAGGGAAATACCTAGGCATCCAATCCATCCATGGCAGACTGAAACAGGAATCATTTGCGGGAATTATAGAGAAGATCCATTCAAGATTAGCCGGATGGAAAGCCAAATCACTAACACTAGCAGGAAGACACGCATTGGTCCAATCAGTTTTGTCCTCAATCCCATTCTACACAATGCAAACAACGTTAATACCTGCCGGTGTGATCAATAACATTGAAAAAACCATACGGAAATTTCTTTGGGGAAGCAATCAGGGAGACAACAAAGTCCACCTCATCAAATGGGATACGATCACAAAAAGTAAACAGCAAGGTGGTTTGGGCATCCGTAAATTAGAAGAAATGAATAAGGCCTTCATGGCGAAATTAGGATGGAGAATTCTGCATGGAGAAGACAGCCTATGGATCAAGATTTTCAAGGAAAAATATCAACTGTCGAAGATAGACTGTCGTCTTTGGAAGGCTAAGAGAAATATGTCCAATGCAATGAAAGGTATCCTAAGTGCTGTTCCTGTTCTAATAAAAGGAGTCAAAAGATTTATTGGTAACGGACGCAACACATCATTCTGGAATGATATATGGATCGAGGACTTCCCTCTTTACGAGGCTGCTGTGGAAGCAGTCCCCTCCGCTGACCTTAATCGATCTGTATCTAGCTATTGGAGCCTTCAATCCGACTGGAAATGGAGTGAATTGAATCATCTACTGCCCATAAATATATTGAGCAAACTAGCCCTATATTTTATTCATGAGGAGATGGAGGAAGAGGACAACATTTCCTGGAAGTTAGAAGCAAATGGAAACTTTTCGGTTGCATCTGCTTATAATATAGCCATCGGGGAACCAGCACCACTAGAGGCCGCCAAATGGAATAGCATATGGAAATTAAAAATTCCTTGCCGCATTCGCACCTTCCTCTGGCTCGTGAAGCATGAAAGAATCATGTGTAACAGTAACAGAGCTAAGAAAGGTTTTACAGATTGTGATAAGTGCAGCTTTTGCAATAATCAGGTAGAAGATACTGAGCATGTGCTCAGAACCTGTCCGCTAGCAACAGAAGTGTGGGAAGCAGTACTCCGACCCTTCCACGATAAATCAAGAAACTTTTCGCTACAAAGATGGCTGGAAGAAGGAATTAAAGACAGTAACAAGGTCAATGTACCAGATAACTCCAGCATCACATTCGCTACAACTCTATGGTGGATTTGGAAATGGAGAAATGAAAGAGTTTTTAATGGCACAACAAAACCGCTCCAGTTCAAGGTTCCTTGGATTAAGACACAAGTCAAGGAGGTGTCATTGGCTTTCGATAGAGCAATGGGACAGCACTCAGCAGGAAATTCAAACAATTGGATGATGTTCATATGGGAAAAACCCAAGGAAGAATTTGTCAAAATCAATGTAGATGGATCGGTAAAACCGCAAACAAATGACGCATCTTGTGGAGGTATCATCCGTGACTGCAATGGAGTTTGGAAGCAGGGATTCGTATTCAACATGGGTAACTCTACCCCATTTGAAGCAGAGGCATGGGCACTCCTCAAAGGAATACAACTAGCAGCTCATACAGGTTACAAAAAGGTGATACTCGAATCAGACTCTACCATGGTGGTCAATTACATGCTTAATAAAAGAAGACCATCAACAGTTGCACATAATATTCTTGAAGGGTGCAGAAAGGAGTTAAAGGTATTTGATGCATGGAAACTTTCAGCCATACCTCGAGAACAAAATAATGCAGCCGACAGTTTAGCCAAAATTGCTAGGAATTTCCCAAAGGGCATCCATATCTTAGATAGCCCTCCTGAGGTGATGAAGAGTATATTAGAGGATGATATTGAGGGACGGCCTGTTTGGCGTCACATTTGTAACACAAACTAACTAGTCTTGTACCTTTCCTTTTCCGTTTGGGGTATCCCCCTACCATGATAAATAAAAAAAAAATTAATCATATCGCAAATTATTTCCTTTATAAAAACTAGTTCTAGTAGTTCGATCTGCTACAAAATTCACGCAACGCTGTAAACAAATTATTTGTGGCAAACAAATTATATCAAAATTCTTATCGGTAGAATACAACAGGGACCACATAAATCCCTATGTAGCATCGAAACCACACACATCCTTATTGAATCCCGAAATATTAGCATTTTATATCCTATATATACACATGACAAAAGAGAGATCAGAGGTAAGAAATAGTAAATAATAATAAATTTCTTCAATCCGGCCTTCAAAACTATATTGTTGTCAATGCAAGTTTTGAAGGTCTGAAATAATGGGCAATCCACTCATCCTCCTCATCATCTCAATCCTTTTCCTCTCATCACAAACCATCTCCTTAGCCAGTGAGAGTGAGGGAACCAAATTTACCTATATTAGTGGAGCTGAGAATGGCCCAGGGAAATGGGGAAAACTTCACACAAATTATACAGTCTGCAATGCTGGTAACATGCAGTCTCCCATTAATATTGATGACTCCACTGTTAAGGTTACCTCCAAATTTGGGGAGTTGATTCGACGTTACAAATCGTCTGAGGCTATAATCATCAACAAAGGCCATGCTCTTCAGGTAATTAATTAGTTCCAAATAGTTTTAGTTTTGTTGGATTTAGATCGATTTTGTAACTGATAGAGATATCGAAAACTACTCAAATGGAGATTTGGAATCCAATAGCCCAGGATCTCTGTCCAAGAAGATGACTTGGACCAAGATAATGATTCGGATCGGGATAGGTGACCCAGACCCAAGATTGGGAACCTAGCTAGGGTTGGCCTTCGAAGTCCATTGTCTTGTCTAGCTAATATTCTTACATTAATCCACCCAATATTATTACAATTCATTTACATACTATTTTACACTTATAATTTATGACTTAGTTTATCTACATATATCCCGGGTCAATTATATAATAAATTGTTGCATGCATGCAGATCCAGTGGACAGGTGATGCCGGAAAGATTATCATTAACGGTACCGATTACTTCATGTTACAATGCCACTGGCATACTCCCTCTGAGAACACTGTGAACGGCAAAAAGGTTGATATGGAGATTCATCTGGTTCATAGGAGTGCAAAAGATGAATTTGCTGCTGTCTCCATCTTATACAAAATAGGAAAACCTGATATAAGTTCCTTGGACAAGTAAGTACCATTCAATTATATATATATATATATATATATATATATATATATATATATATATACAATATAATTGAATTGATCTTATATACATTAATTAATTTCTTGGTTCCACTCCAGTTGCTGAACAGCATCAGGCAAGTTGATCGCAATGGTAAAGCTTTAGGCGCCCTTAATCCAGGAAAGATCACATATGAGGGCAAGAAATATTACAGATTCATTGGTTCCCTCACTACCCCACCATGCTCACAGGGTGTCATCTGGACAGTAACCAAAGAGGTCTGTATCCTAACCTTAACCTCCCCAACACCCAACCAAGATGACTAAGGATATAACCACAAGGTCACGAGTTTGAATCTCAACCTTCTTTGTTTGAGCCGGTTAACTATGAGCAATCTAGGCTGGTCTACCTAGTTATTGCCAACTTAGCTGGGCAGGTTTACCTTGCTATATATCGGCAACCTAGCTATAGGTTGGTTTACCTAGCTATTGGCAACCTAGTTGAGTTGGTTTACCTAGCTATATATGGGCAATCTTGTTGGTTGGTTTATTTAGCTATATATGGGCAATTTAGCTGGGTTGGTTTACCTAGCCATGGGGCATGGGCTACCTAGCTGGGCTAGTTTACCTAGCTATTGGCAACCTACCTAGCTGGGCTGGTTTACCCAACTATTGACAACCTAGCTGGATTGGTTTACCTAGCTATATATGGCAACCTAGTTGGGCTGGTTTACCTAGCTATATATGGACAACCTTGCTGGGCTGGTTACCTAGCTATGGGCAACCTAGGTTGGTTCTTTGACCGACAAGGATCATAAAGCGGGATATATGCACACCATCAAATAGTGACTGCGGAGTTTTTTCATATTCCAAGAAAATTAAATATGCATGTATCTCTTTCTCTCATTCACACAGTAATGATAAATTGTTGGATTTTGTAGGTAAAGACAGTATCACAGGAACAGATAAACTTATTAAAGGAAGCTGTTGATGATGTAAGTACTGAATTATGCATCTATCTAGATAGATTTAATATGTGACACATATATACATAGAATGGTACAAATATTTGATGTTTTGAATTTGTTGTTTAGGGTTATGAGGAAAATGCAAGGCCACTGCAACCACTGAATGGAAGGACAGTATATCTCAATCAACCATAGGAACGTTGTTGCCGGTGCTGTTTAGGAAGTATATGTATTGAGGGAGCTGAGTGATTGCCCACCATTAAACTGAATATACAAATCATTTTCAAACATAATAATTTCAATACATTATGTTTAATAATTATATATTTGTATATGATTCATGATAATGTAATTAAATTTTTGGTCAATCTTTAATTGAAATAGCATACATTGCTTACTTTTTATCAATGAGTCCTACGTTTTAAATGATCATTTCGTATAGGCCTGTTTGGTAAAAAATTGGCCTATAGGTCAATTTTGACTTATATGACCACTATTAATTGTTTGTTTTAGTTAAAATATCAATATAAATATTTGGTTAATTAGCTTTTTGCAACTCCATAAGGCTAAAATTTAAAAAGTTACTACAAGCAACTTTTCCAATTAGCTTTTTGAGAAAGAAATTATACCAAACAACTATCAGCTAACAAGCCAATGTTACCCTCTAATTAACACAATCATCTTACCAAACAGTGCCATTGTCATTTTAAACATAATAATTACATACGTTAGCTTTCAAAAATATATATATATATATTACATACGTTATGTTTTATAATTATATATTTGTATGATTCATGAATAGTCTCGTTATAAGAATTGAATCAATATAATATACATTTATATATATAGTATGTGGAAAAGAGCTTAGTTTGTTACATGTGAAATTAAAGGTTGAATTTTTATATTATACAAATCAATATATAAAATATTATAATATAAAAATATATTTCAAAAAATAAGCGGATTAGCCATTTTTTATAAGATTCCAAGTTGGAAAGCACTTATACCTCCAATTTGTATACATTGTAATAGTCAAACAAAAATTGGAGAGGTACAACGAACATATATATATTGTGACAAATGAAAATCACAACCGACTAGAAATGAATACAAATATTACGAGATTAGGAATAAATACAAGCTGACCTCAAAGTATTTGATGAAGATAATACCCAAGAGCTAGGAACTGTCGTGAAAAAGGAAGAAAGAAAAATTGAATTTTCTTTTCTTTTGATGCCTCTGCCGAAGAGATAAGAAAAATAAGATTTTTCTTCCTTCTCTATCAAAACTGTCGAAATGGAATTATGTGGAAGCTTGTGAAAGATGTGGAATTCTCTCTCATTAAGAATGAGCATTGCATCCCTTTTTATAGATAGGTTCTGCCGACATAGAAAGGAAATATGGGAAAGAAGTGAAGGAAATTATCTTCAAACCTCATCCCATCAACTTTTGCCTCCAACTTCCACCCAAATTC